CCCAGGAGGGACGCATCCTCATCATGACGACCAATCATCGGGAGCATCTGGATGATGCCCTCATACGGCCTGGTCGCGTTGACAAGAAAGTCGAATTCCAGCTTGCCGACGCTGATGTGATCAGAAGGCTGTTCTGCACTGTGTTCGAACAGTCAACAGAGGAGTTGCCTGATGCGGAGGCTCGAGACAAGAGCAACGAAGAAGTTCGGCGGCTGGCAGTCGAGTTTGCGGCCGCGATACCGGAGCTGGAGCTTAGCCCTGCCGACATTCTTTCGTTCCTCCTCGCAAACAGGGGCTCTCCATCAAGCGCTTTGGCCGATGCGGCAGGATTGGTATCAAAGACTAGAAAGGGTGGAGCGCTCAGAATGGGTGATTCTTGGGTTCATAGTGATTGAACTTGAGGCGCCATGTGTGCTGGATCTACATTCATTTTTGCTTTGGTTTAAATGTCACTCCTTATTGTACACATAACCACCGAGAAACGCAACCAACTTGGGTATATAGTTCAGGACTTCACTCTTTTATTCATCCCTTCTCCGACTATATTCTAACCTTGTGAAAGACGGGCAACAACACCTCGGCTAAATGAGCATGGCATACACGGCGACGGAGCTTGAGGTTCTTCATAATTTAGAGGCGTTCCGTAGCTGTTCTACACTAGTGTGATTCCAAATATATAATTTCCAGTTACTGATGCCAGGCAGGCGAAGAGCGTCGCCAGGAAATGTTCGGAAGCGTGCGGGAACAGACGACGCAGCGTCCAATAAATACCCATTCTTCTCGCAAAACGAATTGGATCAGCAGGCTTACCGAGTTAGGATGCGGTTGACCTTCGCCTAGGCATCTGACCAACTGCCTGCCAGCGACTACTATCTTCAGCCCGGAATGTGCAGGGCTTTTCAGACCTGCCGTCGGCACTGGTGTCAGGGTTCGTGTTGGGATACCTGCCAAGCAGAGGGTGTGCTGGAGAGCAGAACGAAGATGCCGCGAACCAGAGATCATCGGATAACGACCCATACTGTCCAGCTCTGGGCAGCCCTGCGACTCACCTCTCTGGCTCGTGCCTCATTTAGCCGGTCATGTGATGGTCCTTTTGCATATCGGCCGCATTGTATATGACCCGTCAACGAAACTGTTGATTGGGAGTCGAGTTGTTGTATAGGTGTGTATGATGTGTTGATACGCCTCGAGCCAAGGCGGATGCGGCCCTTACGGAGACGACCACAACGTGTCATGCATCAAGTAACCCTTTGGGGAGCTATGCCGCAAGGCCTTACGTGTCATAACCTCATTCTATCAAGTGCAGACTGCGCCCATTTTCTTGCAGCAAAGTTGTAGCCTTCTCTGCGACAATTACGCTCGTTGTTATGTGTCTTCACGCACGAGACCCGCCGGGTTATTACCTCTCTCTGTGGCAACATCATTTCCTTCGTTTCATCCAAGGCATCAATATCGCTGACGCCGCTGATCGACTCCTGCTCCAATGGCACTAGACAGAAAGGCGAAGTAAAAGAGCTCTTGGCTCGGCTAAGAGAACCGCCCTACAAGAACCGAGCAGGAAATATCCTCACATGCCTCGATGTTACGTGCCGCGTAGACTCGATTGCTTGTTCCTGACCGCCGCCGAAAAGAAGTCGGTTTATCAGCGTCAACAGAACTTGAGCCTAGCCACTGATATTGCATGCGGCCGTCATTCCGCTCGAAATCAACAGTCAAGCCTGCTAGCCACGAGGCCCAGGATGTGATGCACAGGGATTTTGGACACGCTGAACATCTTTTGGCTTTACAGTAGACCGGCACCACCCTCTCCTGGTTTATGCACGTATGGCGCAGCTACAAGTCCGTTGCGACAGGGTGGCTTGGCGACCCCTGCTTCATTGGCAAGGTGGCCTCCTCGCGTCTCGGCTCAGGGACAGATGCAACGTGACCAACGTACAGGAGTGGACAGCAGATGCGGCCAGGGCTAGACCGGGTAGCAATTCCACTCTCGGCTAAGGCGAACACGACATGTCATGTATAGGGTACTGTCCTCAGTCCCAGGCAGCAGAGTCGCGTATTTCTGCGCGCTATTTCCACTCTATATAGAGCGACTTTAACCCTCATCAACTGCAGCATTGTCGCACACCTTGACGCAATAATAACGCGGTCTGTGGTGTGGCCTCGCTCCTATTTTCTTCGTATCGTTCCTTTCCATCTTTCAGCATCCTCTACCGATATCGCTAAGTGTCATGCCCCAATGGCAGTAGACAACAAGACGAAACGCAAGGAGCTTCTTGCTCAGTTGAGAGAGCTGCCTCCCCAGAACAGAGCAGAAGATGTCAGCGCCCTCCTGGAAGCTAGGCGCCGTGGAGACAAGAGACGACCGAGTCGGATCTGCGGCGACCTGCTCCCGTATCGTTACACGATAGACCAAGAAGTCGACTTGCGCGACGGCGTCGTCTCAATCTCAGTGTTTGCCAATCTGGCGCATTATCTTTCGAAGCAAGACGTGTTGGCCCTGGCTCGAGACTCTTCTCTCTTCGAGAAGGCCAAGGAGTTGTTAAAAGACAAGGATCTTCCGTCATCGTGGTCAGATTGTCTCCGGGAATGGAGCACAACGAGCCCAGAACTGGGGCTGGAGTTCTATTGTGGTGCGTTTGAATCCATAGCCGAGGCATCTGAGACTGACGGAACTCCCCTAGAGATACGAGGTATGAAGGCGAATCCTCGAAAGCGAGGAAGCGAAACTCCGGTCCCTGAACCAAAGAGGCAATGTGTGGCCCTGCCAGACACCCGCGATGATGATGCCCAGGGTCATCCACCATCCGCCAACGTTGGGCACGTCCGCGAACAGCCAGAATCCGGGCCCAGTGTTTTTGGAGCCATCTCGACAAACGCTGCGACATCGCCATCTGCGTCTGAGCTAGGAACGGAGCAGGCACCAGGCACTCAGCCGGTGGACAGCACCGCCCCAAAGGATACGAGTCACCCCCAACCGACTAACACAGGCGACCGTAAAAACCTCGACAACCAGCCAACCCGGACCCAGGACACTCAGAAGAAAATCATGTTCATGACTCTATCCCGATGTCGTGTGGCTGTCTATCCGGTTCAAGTGTTTCCCGACTTGATTCAACAGACGAGCCAAGACATGCAGTTTCGACGCCGAGAACCTGGAGGGTGTATCTATCGCTCAGATCTCATCAGAAGTCGCGCAGGCCAATTTCATATCCTGGTCTCTCATGAAATTCTGGGCAAGCTAGGACGAAGTCGTAAGGGTGAGATGCACGTCACATCCCCCTTTTTGTTGATGCTAACGAGACCATAGACCAGGATTGCGTCGTAGTTCCCACGTCGCTGGCGATACGTCTGTTCGTGGTTGGAGATTGCCATCTTGCTACGTCTATATTTTGGCCTACTAGAGGAAGCGTCACTCATATTAGAAAAGGCTGCGATGTCGTGTGGGAATCGTCTCCAGATTGGGTACTTTTCTTGAAGCACCTATCAACTATACGGCCAAACGTGCCTGAGTTGTGTTCCTTGCAGACAATGCTCTTTTCGTATCCCGTCAGTGAGAGAAGACCAGGCGTTAGACATGAGGCTCCTCATGCAACTTCTTTTTCCTGATATACTCCACACAAGCATTATCCACATATAGACCGCGTTTTGGGACCGGATACAGCCAGACTCCATCGACCTCCGCGTATTGTCCTGTTATAACACCGTATGAATCGTCATCCGCAAATAGCACAATGCCTTCGTCTTGAATTTCTCGTCCCTTCACATCGGTCGTGACGTATATGAGCACGGCGACAGCATCGTCGGAAGCATCGTGGAACTCAAGTTCGCTGGCGTCTGCTTCATCCTTGATCTAGCACTCAGGTTAGCCCAGTTGTCATGGTAATAACGTGGTTCGTACCAAACTAGCAGCCCTCTGCAAAATCTGCGTTCTTTCTCCAGCTACCACCTTTTCTGTTACATCTTCTCCAACCTGTATCTTCTGCGGAAACAATGACAGAGCAGTTGTCATTGGATATAGGAAGGTGAATACAATTAGCGTCCTCGTGAATACCGCCTGGCCGTGCGGTGTCGTTAGCTACGACTTCGAACCGCTGAGGCTGTGGTCGTCTGTTCTAGGTTTGGTGGGGCTAGGAGGGGCAAGACTTGTCGTTCGTCTTTGATGGGAAGAGTCGCCGGCGCGTTCGTGGCGCTGGAAGTATGATCGAGTGCGAAAAGACCGTTGTCAAATTTGTGAAGTTTTGTAGCGTTCGGGTGGCTTCACAGGCTCGTGAGACATCGTAAGTCGATGAGAGGAGTCTACCTTCGAAGGTGAGGCTGAGAGCGATTGGATCGCGGACTGCCAACGGAGCAGACACAGAAATCACTGTCATCGGTGAAACTTTGATCCGTGACGGGGTCCATTTGCAAGTGCAGGAATCGCGCACTGGCAATCGCGAGTTTGTCACCTACCCAGTTGCAGAGTTGCAGCGCAGCATTTTCCAGGTTTGCAACCACGGGGATTGGGGTTTCAGCGCACGGCGCAACGCGATGTTAACCCCATGTCCACCAACCGTCGGCTGAGGTGAAGCGGGAATCGAGCAGGCCAGACTGTAGTTAAAGAGACCTTCCCCCACGACTGAACAAGCTGTCCCTCTCTGCTTAATTAAGACGCCACGCTTGAACACGTAAAAGTCGAGTCAGTGAGATAGACTACTTACGACATAGACTTACCTGCCATCCTTTCATACAGGACTGCCTGAGTGGTAGTAAGACAATCCAATGGAAGTCTTATGACGAGGGAAGGCGAAAAACGACAAGTTTTATACATCACCCAGGATGGCACAATAGGCAAACTGGTCAAGTCACGATGTATCTGATGCAACCCGAAATGCTGAGCCTTCGAGCAGACATCGTTCGCTTCTCTGTCCATCCCGTGCGTGACCTCGTTTGGCAGTTCAAACTGATCATTGGAAATTGTATGGATGCCCTTTTGACTTTGAGCGTGGGTCTGGCGAAAACCAGACAAGTTTGACTCACATCTCCATGGCTGCCCTTTGCTCAACTGGCTTTGGCCCCGTCGCTTGGAGGATCTCAGGGCACCGCCGCGGCCTGCTTCGCTCGTCCCTCTGGTGACTTGACCGTACGAATGGGTCCTTCAGGCCGGGCACTCGGCAATGCCACTCAAACTCTCGTCGCCGGCCATGGCTCGCCCATCACCTGTTCAATCGATATCGACATCACTGAGGACGACCTGATTGTTGTTTTCCAACCAGACGATCCGAACTTAGCTGCAGATTTAGCGTATGCGAGCAGTCACTGTCCACAGAAGCTTCGAGAAGGAGCTTGTGGGCCTAAAGTGCCAAAAGCGCTGGGTTAGCTCGTTTATGGCGCGCAGCGCTGTAAACCAACTACTGAGGTTACCAAGCTAAAAATAAACCATGGCTATTATTGGCTTCCCCTGTTCAGGTGTGGCCCATAGGCCAAGACCTGCGCCGACATAGGTCATCTGGTGGAAAACGGCGACAGTGACGGCCATTTTGGGCCCAAGATCCAAGATGCTAACATTGTTGAACAACGTTCACGTTCTGTTTTAGAAGTATTTAAGCATAGACTGTCAGGCGATAACCACTCTCGCGAAAGCAATGCTCCGGAAGCCGAACATGGCATCTCAAAGTCAGCATCTCGCCAAGAAGCGAGACAGGTCTAGTGAGAACTTTACCAAGGCAACGAAGAGTCTATTAGCACGGTGCGACCGAATAAGGGAGCGATATAAAGCCGACGTTTACATTCAAGTCCGTAGGATGCACAAACACTACACGTATACTTCATCTAATGAGCCGTCCTGGCCTAAGACAAAGGCGGAGATGGTGAGTACTGCTGCAGAGCAATCGCCTGATGTTAACATTGTGAAGGACAGGATGTACCCCGTCCCCGTGACAAGAACGCCCCAAGACTTTGCTGGTAAGCGGAATCGCGCATCGGCCGTCCATACCCCACAGAAAACCGCAGCAGAGGAAAAGACGCCTCGTATTGCAGTGGGGGGATCGTCACACGCAGATCGTCGTAATGTTCTGGCTCTGAATCACGAAGAAGATGCATATCCGTGTGACAAGCCAGTAGGGCAGGAGACGATGTCTCTAGGAGAGCACAGCACGCGCTGCATGGAAAACCATTCAGAAGAAGTGATAGCTCAAAGGATGGATGTAGCAAAACTAGCTAGCTAAATCCAAAGCGTCTCCACAATCAATTGCCGCCCCCATTCGTGGAAGCCTCCCAAGTGATCAATTCGAAGGCCTGCCTGGATTCCAGTAGCGCTGTTGAATCCCCAGAGACATCACACTTGGCAACGGGCCCATGCTATCCCGACAGCAGGGGTCAAACGGCCCTCATCACCTGTTTCCAGAGGTGGGAGACAAAGGCGCCACTCCTGACAACGACAGCCAATATGGAGCCAGGGTAGATCGCTTTGGATGGCGCGTTTGGTTCGCCCGAGCAAGCCCATTCTGGCACGCTGGCTTCGGTACCTGCTGCGCTTGGAGCTGATTCCGATGCTAGTTGGAAGCGCTTTACAGCACAGACATAAGCCATAGACACCCGTCGTTGCTTGCTAAGATCAAATTCAACCAGCAGAAAGTGGCTGTAAGTAGGTAGCCTCAAGTAGCTTTGTGCGAGACCCTTGCACTATCCTCAGAGCTAGGCCTAACACGACATGCTGAATGCCCCAACGAGGTGGACTCCTTTGGTTCCTAGCGCATGGGTTCCGATGGGCAAAGTGTACATTATCGACTGGCTGCGACCCGAATCGATTACTCCAGAAATGACTTTTGCTTGGGATGGACGAACACCGAGGCGTCGCCATTGAACCATGAACCACATGTCCGAGATGGATCTCTTAACTTATCGTTAGCCGCACGGGGACGATGCTCCATCCAGTTTCCACCATCACCATCTGGAGAGATTTGTAGACGTGTCCTAGTCGGATTACATCTGAGTCTCACACAAAGTCAACGACGATATTGGCCTCCGCTTGTATCAAAGCCTCCCTAGGTACTTCTGGTCTCCCATCCAGACGGTAATCAGCGTAAAGAGGACGGTCAAAGTGCACATGCTGCGTAGCTGTAATCAAGGATAGCCGCAATAACTTGAGTGCTTGTAGGAAGTGGCGTCTAGAACTAACGAGCTTTGATGGGGGATCGAGCAATGCGTTTAGACGAACGGCAAAGCATCTTACAACGCACGAATCAGCGCCTAAGCTTACGTTCCTCGAGCCTTATTACCGAGTCCTCCCTTATAACTCACGAGCTAACGCAGTCATAATCAGCTAATAGGAAGATCAATGAACGCTTCTAGTTTCCATACAGGTCAGGCCACTCTCGTAGGGAACCTGCTCAAGCAGACTCCCGCGTGTGCGGCTTTGCTTGCGCAGATTGCTGCCTAAGCGGTTGTGCGCTTAAGCGCATTCCTGCGCAGGCGACTTTGCTTGAGCTCGTTTTCACGTGGGCGGCTCTGCTTGAGCGGAATCCTGCGCAAGCAGCTTTGCCTGGGCGGCATTTCTGCGCGAGCAGGCATGCCGAGGCAGTCTTCTGCGTACGCAGCTGATCTACTGACAGGTTTCATCAGGGTCACGCCTGCCCGAGTTGGGGCAGCCACAGCGCAAGCTCCCCACTCGACCCAAATTTGGGGCAGAAGTCCATCTCGATGAAGGGTAGTGAGCACTAACGAAACCGTCCGGAAAGCGACCCGACGCAGATTGTCTAGTTTCGGGGCCGCTCTGGGGTGTGGAGAGATGCTCCACGGTCTCCTCAGAATGGGAAAAGGACCCATCGCGGGCTGCAGTAACCATGTCAGCTACAAGGTCCATCATTGCTGGAAACAACAGTCTTGCCAAAAATAGACAAGCGTTGAGGCAGCAACAGCGAAAGCCGGCGAGTGATGCGACCCACGGCAGCACACTCACTCCTCTTCCACAACAGCGAGCGGGAATCGAGGCGACGTGCGCTCCTTCCAAAGCCGAAGGCGACAGGTTTGCTGACTATGGTCAGCTCGCCTGTGCGTGGATGTGTTTGACCTTATCTCTGAGGAGAAGCAGCGTGCGAGTTGACGACAGGTTGATTTGTTTGATTTGCACAATGTGGGCCGAGATGCTTGGGTAGCCGTAACCCAGTCCGCGCCGGAGGGCATCGGAGCCGGCGCAATGCCCTCATCTTGCGTTGATCCGTCCGGTCCTCTTTTCTGAACCGGTTTTGAACCATACATTCCCGGACGATGGAAATGCGCTCGACGGACACGATTGTGGTTCCCTAAGTAAGGGCATTGAGCTGTGGCTCACAGTTTAGATTGGCATCTTGAAGTTCGCTGTGTCTCTGACGCTAAACCTATGGTATTGGCTCGCGTCCCGACACTCTGATTTGCATCTCGTACCGAACGTCAACTTTCGATGAATTGTCACACGGCAGCCATCGCGCCATGTTGAAAGCCATCTGAATGTTAAATTCATGGTATCGTTTTTGTCGCCGACTGATGCGGCCACCATACACGCCCCCAGCCGCCAAGGCTAGAAAGCAACCATTTGAAAGCAAGGTCGAGCTGGTCGGCATCCTGTACTATTAAAGGAAATTCCCTTCCCGATGGAAATACAGAAGAAGATCATAGGGAAGTGAGCCTAGGCTCTTGATGGTTGTCTTGGCTTCTTCATCATCTAACAGGTCCTCATGTACCGCGAATATCTCGATGACAGCGTCCCGGAAACCTCGATCAGTATCGATGGTGGAGGTGTAGGCCTCGGTAGCCGCACATAAAAAATCATTCGGCTCCCAAGCCTGTGCAGCAGCATCCTTGAATTTGGCTACGGCGAGGTCCTTGAGACCATCAACGGCATACTTTTCTGCGATTGTATACACCTTGGCGTGTAGAAGGAGACAAGTTATGCTTTCAGCCTTGCTTGGCTCTAGCTCTGGCGATTGTAGAAGGCTGTCTGTGTAAAGCGATTGTCGGTAGTCCAGGAGGTAAAAATATTGCATCATCATATCGACGACGCATGGTTCGTCGTCTGGAAGGTGGATCGAGCCGTCGGAAGACTCCTGTATCGCCGCCTACATTAGTACCAGAGACTTTGCGCGCGAGGAAACACATGCGAACTTGGAGAGGACTACGGCATGCGGCAGCCAGGAAGTCAGACCGTGGACAGACAATAGCGCGGTGGACGGAGTAGGTTTTGGCAACGGAGGATATCGTCAGATCTGAGTAGATCCCGGTTGTGTAGAGCCTGGGATACTGTGAGCGTAAGGCCAATCAATAGGATGAATAGAAAGCGAGCTTCACCTCTCGAAAGATTCGACGAGGTCTTTCTGGGGTCGGCCGATGGAAGCCATCGCGGTTTGGGCCGGAACTGTCGCGGAGGGTGGAGCAGAGGCGGCCGCCGGTGATATGGGCTCTTCGTCTAGGAATAGCTCCGGGAAAGCTCTGCAAGCATAGGAGGAATGCTCGAATATCCTATCCTTCTGAAGTGACCGTAATATGGTAATTAAGCGTTCGGTAGAAAAGCCGGGGACCCGAAGACCGCGCTCGCGGACGACGGACGCAATAGCCTTCCGCTGGCGCAACCGACCGTGGTTAAGTCCAGAGAAGATAGCCTTGCAATCGGAGTCGCGATAGACACTAATTCTTTCGGATCGGGAGGGCTCTGCGTACACGCTGCGATCCTTACGCCGCATGTTGGCCGTAAGGACTCTCCAATAACGCAGAGCCGTTGCACAGGTGATAGGCCATAGTAATCGTCAGCCGACACTGCTAATAGACTGTCACCCATGCGATTGGGATGCATTTGTCGGGCGGTGAGCCGAGGCAGAATTGATATGTCCTGGGCGGGGTAGAGCTTTTCGGGAGCAAGCGCGGCCTCGTACCTTGCTTGAGGGTAATTCAGACATAAACGTTATCTTCCCAGTTGCATCACCCCGCGTCTCAAAAATTCCGAGAAACATGATAATTGCCCTGCAAGACTTCGCCACGTTCAACAACGTCCACTATCTTTCTTCCATTCTCCTCGAATCTCGCACATCATGTACCTACCCCTCGGTGTGGCGGCTCGGATCATTTGTAACCCCACTTCCGAATACGATGAGAATGTTGTCTCTTTGGCGGCTGATGGCCTATCCATCAGCCCGATGTTGAGGGGACTGGCATACGACAGAAGCCTGGGTTCATGGCTTAAGCAGTACTGGGGCGCCTTCAGGGCCTGGTTGTCCCAGCCACGTAAGCGACCGCTGCTCAGTTCCATCAGGAAAGCCAGCTTTGCTGACTCCGCTAACAGAACTCTTCAGAGATCATCGTGGCGATTGTATTTACTGTCGTGAGCATTGCCATACTCGGCCTCGGATTTGGCCCAGCCGGAGTGGGCACCGGTGAGTCGCTACGTCGATCCCTGCTGTTGACGTTCTTGGCCATCTCCAAGATAGCTAACTGCGTGGCGCAAGGAACTCTCGCTGCCGTTTTCCAGTCTTCTATGTATGGAGCTTTCACTCCTGCGGGAGGCCTATTCGCGACGCTGACAAGCATGGCCATGTTGGGAACGTTGATGCCATGGGCTGCTGTTGTTTCTGGGGTTCTTGCAACATTGGCTACAGGTATAGTGTGGGGATATGGTGTAGGAGGTGGTTAGTGCGCATACGAAGTGGATTCCCTGTCTGGCACCAAATGAGGCTGCGGTGGAGATGCACGATTGTGCATTGGTCTATGTTCAAAGGCACGATTTACCAATTCAGGCCAGGCATATCCAAGCCTGTAGAAATCCCCGTGAACTGACCTGGGCCCGTTTCATTCGATCCGCATCTGGATTCATCACTAAGCAGTACTGAGGAGGCAAGATCCATAAGTGGCTACAACCACGTGGTCGTGGACCGTTCTGACGATTTAGGCCAACCCCCCTGGGCTACATACACCCCGAGCGGATGCAAAGATGCGGACGCCTAAGCCTCTCTGATACAATTGGGACGCCTTTCGGTCTTTCTGGCATCTTGTCCCCTGAGCCTTGTCCCATGTCTCGTTCGGTCTACCCCTAAACGGCCATTCCAGAATGGAGGTACATAACGGAGGTGCTTTGATTCCAGAATGCTTAGAGATCGAGAATTGAGAAAACAGGAGTCCACCTCAATTCCAGAATGCTCGGGTTTCAAACTTGCAGTCATTCCAGAATCACGATGATTCCAGAAAGGAAGTACCCCATGGGTGTGCTGCGATTCTGGACTGCCAGTGATTCCAGAACGAGGGAATATCCCTGAGATTCTGGAATGGGGTGATTCTAGAATACCTGCAGCTTTGAGAAAACAGGAACACATCATGATTCTGGAATCAAGGTACATAACTTGAGAACCGTGTTTCTGGAATGAAATGATTCTAGAATCGGGCTATGAAGTACGTACAAGGAAAATTGTGCAGATACAGGCATACGCGAAAGTATTGGAGTGTTTGCCCAGGTTAGTCTGGACGTACCGAAGTGGTGCCTGGCATGGTTACATGCAACTTGTGTCATAACCACACCCTGCTGACAACGGTTTATTCTGTTTCAGAGCTGCAGTCCCATCCAGGGTTATTTCCAGAACCCGTAAACAAAATATAGTCTTTGCAAATCCTAAATGCATTCTTGGAATACCAGATTCAGCAGCTTTCTTTCACACTGGAGGAATTTGAAAGGGGCGGCGGCTAATGAAACAGCCCCTGCGCCGTCGATGGCTGGTCCCTCCGTGCAGCAACCCCGGCAAAGCTTTTGATTGGTTGCTCGCGGGTTGTCTTTCTGCCGCACTGCGCCGAATTGTTTGGCTGCCTCAACGGGGACTGCCGTTGTCGAAAGTCGTTCTGAGCCATACGATCTGGTGCCACCTGAGGACTCCCGCGAAGATTTAATTGGCTGGCCAGTCAGTCGAATCCGACACCAGTCTCCCCATCATGCAATGCTTAGCTAAGCTGACGTAGATTACGATCGCTGATTTCGGTTTGGGGGGATTCCTCTACGTGACTGTGTCGCGACGGCTCCCTCTGATACAGCGCCCCCCATTACTTTGGCCTCTTCAACAGAGAAGCGCTCATCCAACCCTTGGTCCGTTACCAGAGGCCCAAGGCTGCGACCCTTTTGTAGGATGGCCGGCGGGCAGCTGCCATTGGTTAAGAAGTCTGCGCAAGTAGTGTCTTCTCAACGCGGGACCCGCAGGCCATCGTTTTTGACGTTGAGGTGCCCGGCCCAGGTAGCGCTCAAGAGCGTAAGTGCAGAGAAAAGCGCAGCATGAGTCATCTACATAGGGTCCCAGCTGATTGATGTGAGCAAAAACACGATACATCAAAAACAGAATGAACGAATCCTACTTCGTGCGATCTCTTCTCGAGTTGCGTCACAGCGCCACGAAGTTCCGAGACGTATGCATCGATCCTTTTGCTCCATCGAGAAAAAGCAGCTGGCTGCATCCCGAAGGCGTCGAATGTCTCCGTTTTCCAGTTGACGATTGCAAGAATCCAATGATTTCTGTGGTGATCCGACATCTGATCTGCCGCATTGACGTTGATTGGCAGTACCATCCCGTCAAAAACCCTTGGCGAACGCGAAAGCGCCCGAGGTTAAGAACGGTTCTGTGAACCTCACAAGCAATGGATCTATGATCTGAAGTGTAGAGGTACAACACACTAACTGAAGCATGGCAAGGAACACAACGTCGTCAACATACCGTCCTGGACAAAATTGACCAAGCCTTTCTCTGAATTGAGCTTGGTCTCGGCACGATAACCAACCGACGTGGGCATGCTCGACTGCCCGGTCAATCAATTTCACGATGCTCTTCGAAGAAGGCTTACCGTTGGGTCTTGGCTCGGTGGCGGAGTCAAGATTGCGATTGGAACTGACGTCTATCATAGACGCGGTATCCAGGTCGGGGCCATACCTGGGGCTATGTTCTGTTGTTAAGTCAACGAAACACACGTCACGGGATGGCGGAATCAATCCGAGGAATCGCCTAGGTATCTCCACGATGTCGTGCGATGGACCGGGCAATCTGCGTTTCTCGGCACCCCTCCCTACTTCAAAAGATGGGATCGGGTCGGTTCGGCATTCTCTTCCAGCGGCACAATCATTTCGGGTCAAACTTGCGATGTTCTCTGCTGTCAGTGTCGAATTGAGAGGCACATCGGACGCTTCTTGCCTGCGAGTGACGGTAGAGGAAATAGGCGACAAGCGAACGAACAGAACGTCTGCTTCCACGGCGCCTGGCTTGCCAGTGACGGGTCCTAAGGGGAATATTGGTGTTGGTTAGGACAAATAGATCGGCCTAAAGCTTCAAGATTGGCCATGCTCACCGAGGCAACTGAGATGTCGCTCAATGGTCTCGTCAAGAAACTCGACTTCAGCCCTGACTCTGGATAGGGAGCAGAAGATCGCATCATCTAACGGTTGCTGCGAGTGACTTAACAGCGCCTTGACGCGCTTGAGAAAGAGAGGAATAGTAGTAAGGCTGTCTATCAAGTCATCGCATTCCTTCTTTGACGACATGGCTGTGGCGGCTTCGCAGACTATGAGCATCTCTCACAGGAAGAGGCACGGATTCTCCGTCTATGAATGAGGGAGGGTCTGATGCTGTACCATGAGGCACTGGGACAATATATAGAAACGCCGAATCCAGATGAAACCCTATGCCAATAATAGCCTTACGCCTCGTTTCCTCGCCTGACTTATCCCTCACGGCGCTTTGTCCGTCCAATGACAAAAGGTTCTGCGTGCTGGCTAAGCGCCGCCGTCTGATAGAGCTGGGTTGATGCCTTGTTGGTCTCCTTTTCCTCAAGTAAATCCAGCTGCCTTGTTTTGCTATATTTCTCCATCGAGTGCATGCGCATAAAGCTTTCTTGCTATGTGGCGGCGCAACTCTTTTCGGACTTGTCGATGTGATAATCCTCGGAAGCATGAGCGGTATTCTATTTGGACATGACTGACAAGAGCGGCGCTCAAGCAAGGACCGGGATCCGCAACACTTGTGCGTTGTCTGCTCTCCATGCGGCGGCGAAGCCTCCCTGCGCGGTCAAAGAATGCATATACAGCTCGACGCAGTTGGGCAGAGTCCTTCATCGCACCAAGTTTGACATACTTGTAGGTCATCTCGGCTGGTATTCTCAGCGTGGAGGCCGTAATGGTTCTCTTATCATAACTCTTTCGATGCCCTGGCTGAGTTGATGTTATTTCGTCTCGAGGACGTCGGCTATTTCGCCCGGGTTTGCTTTGAGAGGCATCAAGGAGGTGAGTAAAGTTCTTCACTGGAGAGCCATGTTAGTCAGATGGCCGACTTGCGAGGCGCTACTCACCTTCATAGGTGCCGAGATAGATCATATCGTCGTCGATTCGTTCTTTGGTGGGCTGGTACTCGACCGTAGTCAGAGGCGCCGTATTCGGCTTGACTATCGTTCGGATCGTCGTGTCAGCTATCGGAAGTGCTCGTCAAAAACGGCTGGTGAAATCAGACGTTCAACTGTGAGTGAGGCCTTCAAAGGCGAGCAATCCTTGGTGGAGATGTAGGCGCGTGATAGGCAGTGAGCTTTCAACGCTCTGGCCTTTGGGTGCCTTAGGCAAAGAGATGCAAGTGTATCAGTGGAGTGAGGCGGCGGCGTTGCTACCTGATGAAAACGCGGGTTACGTCAGCGCGGAAAGTCATCTTCGGCTTTCTAGGTATCAATCAGAACAGCAGGGATACTGGGGCGGCAAAAGTCACGTGAAAGTATACATGGGCGCAGTAAAACGTGGAAATGAACTACCGGTCACAACTTGGATGTCCAAATCAAGTAGATTGAGTCTGCAATGTGCCGTTCCTAGGCTTCCTCGATAGAGCTCATTTACCTGGCGCTTCTCAGCAGAGAAACAAAATTTAAGGATCCCCATGAATTACTTTACGATCGTTTCCACCAAAACAACAAAAGAGCCGATGGGGGGGCGAAGGATGGATGAACACCGCTCGCTCGAATTTCTGCCTGATCGATTTTCAAGGGCGTTTGGCAGAATAACAATGCGAACCGACACGCTGCCTCTACGGGAAACAAGCTTCCAAATGACTGAACGGGAAATTTTTCTATTGCACAAACGAACAGAGGACGTATCTGGAATGACACAGAAAATGTCTCGTTAGCATATCGTATTTTTTTGTTTGGAAACGGTGCTTGCGTCCAACTGATTTTTAAAATGTATTTCTATTCTCTCGATCCGCATGCATTCTAACGTGACTAGATACCGCGATCTATATCGGGCACAACCTTCTGGTCTTCAGCCTTGCAACTAACTGAATCGATGTGCAACGTCGAGTTCGGCTGGCCAATGTTATGTTTTGAACATAACAGAGGGTATTGCATCATCTTGAAGATTGAGAAGCTGCCCGACTAAACAACTCCCACGATAGACCGCTTAACTAGACTGGAGAAGTCTGGTGACAGGCTGGCCCTTGATGCGGACACTGGTGCGTGCTCCGCCGGGGTTGGTGAGACGGACGTTACTAAGAGAAGGGTTGCTGAAGTTGATCTTGGTAGTTCCTCCGGAACGAACGGCATTGGTACGAGCGCCAAAGTTGAGAGAGATTTGCGGGTTCGCAGTTGCCCTACGGCCCGCTCCGACGCCGAGGGGGAATTGCTGGCGGTAGGTGAAAGTTCCCTGGGCGAAGCCGGGGCCCTCGGTTGCGACGCGGCCGAAGCCAGACAGGGATGCGTCGCCCTCCAATTCGATGGCCGCCTCTCCCGCGCGAGTTACGGTAGTACCGACGTTAGTGATGGTGCCTTCGACCACGGCGGTTTCGGCGGCCTCAGCCCCGGTGAGGGCTGCATCGACGGAGACCTCGACCGTGGCGACCACTTCGGCAGCCTCGAGGATCTCTATAGTAAACTCGATGAGAGCAATCGCGCCGAGGATCAGCTGGGCCTGGGCAGCGGCGATGAAGAGCGCAAGGGGAAGAAAGAATCTCATTTTTACAAGTTTCGTAGAGGAAAGAGTGTCAAGGAATTCAGGAGCGAACGTATACGTTGTGTGGCAGTGAAGCAGAGAGCTGCAAGATTGAATGAATGAGTCTATCAGAAAGCGACAGACATTGTGGTTTTATAATAATCTAACGACCGAGTCGTCTACGGTCAGTTCCATGAACTTACTCCATGAGAAGCCGCCGGATATGCTGGAATAACTCTCTTTGACTGATGGTTCATCTGGGACATGGTTATCCTTGGCGGCAGGGTCGAATCCTCCAGTGTAGGAAATACCAGATAAACGCGTAAACCCAATCATGAATTGAGTGAGAAGGCACTTATCCCGGGATTACAATTTCTTCTGGTTTGATCAGTTGCCTACTGCCCCGAAAGGAAAGTCTCGCTGCGTTCCAGCGGAGTTCCAGTGGACTACTTTAGCGTACACAATGGATACGAGAGTAAAATCATGTACCGATAACTTTCTGCTCTCGGCTGCCGACCGTATATTGCAAGTTCATGCTCTCTAAGAGAAATCGTCAGAATGTCGGTTTTCTTTCATTAAAATACTATATAAATATTAAACCTAATTCTAGAGTTTACCGGAGTGCCCGTCTAGGTTTTCAGGAAACGGTCTCTTAGCGGGGTTGGACTTGGACGGACAAGTAACAGAACTTACTTAGGCAAGGAAACCCACCGCACGGCGCACACAACTTTACGCAGAATCCCGAGGCTGATCGGAGTCTATTCACGGTGTATAATTTACCTGCTTTGACTGGTTTGTGCCTCAAAAAGAAGAAGAAGAAGAAGAAGAAGAAGAAGAAGAAACTGTGGGAAGCTGCTGCTCAGACCTGCAGCTAACATCACATGTTTGTGCCGATCATTGTGGAGGCTCAACCACGGTAGTTAGAATTTGCAACTGACAGCAAAGCAGCTTGTAATATCTCTTTTAGACATGATTAATACTCGCGCGGAACTTTACCTGCTTTTGAATCACCTCAGCACGGACTGGCCGATGTCAATTATATTATGATGGCCAGCCTCGAAGCTGTCCGCCTCGGATTGCGAGTCACTCCACAGATTATACGGGCTACAGACAAAACTTCACGGTGCATCAATCTCAAATGACTTCCCCTGAAGTAGTGACTGTGAGACTATAAGAAGAAGTCGTCAGCATCGAAACTTGACCAATACTATCGCATCCAGCATCAGTTCACCTTCTCAGTCCTACATTCGCTTCCTTACATACTGGCCGCAAGACTTATCCATCACAATGCATTTCGCCTCAGTTGCCGTAAACTTTCTCGCCTTCCTTGCTCCGGCTTGGGCATACGAGGTTGCCACAGACAAGTGCTGCCAGTCCCAGCTTGAAGCGTGCCATAAGCAGGGTGCGAACGCTTGCATGTGGACCAACGCCGCCATCTGCGTCGACAACCCGAAAAACCGCGTTCCAGTTGACGATACCTGCCTGAAAGCATGCCCTGACGCCACTGTCAAGAACCCCAACGGTTTCCTCTACAAGTTCCAGAAGCACGGGTACGTACGACTGACATAATTACGCCTGTCATGCTTCAGCTGACCATTCTACTAGTGCTCCCGCTGGTGACTGTGTCTGCGGCAATCTCAACCCTAACCTGAGCAAGTATTGTTACGGCGGTTAAGCTCGCCACGGAGTATCAATAAGCCCTTAGGATCGCTGAAACCTCGGAATTCCGACTTCGCTCTTGGTAGTCTCTCTAGTGTAAAACACACAATTTACGTACAATTCTTTTTCCCAAAAATCTTCTTGAATTTCCCACGTCTTTGATGCATGCTAGTCAGGTGATATTTTCATGACGCCGATTCCAGAACCCATGACCTAATGTCGTACATAAAAGGAACCGTAATTGCCGGCCAGCAATTACGCCTTGTTTACCACACCTAATGACTGCATTTTCAATTGTTCATCTCTCCGCTGGGCAGCTATGCACCGCCGCTGGATGCCGTCCTTGTTCCCAAAGCTGGGGTTTCCATTTTGCCGGGACGAGGTCGATTTCCGTTATGCAAGTGTCTGATATCGTCACCATGATCCAGAAATGCATCACAAATACCAGCTCACCAGAAAGCATGTCTTTGATGACATTGCAAAAGTATATCATTGCTTCCGCACCGCTTGCGTGTAAGCAGATAGGTTTCACAAGCTCCGGATGGTCTTGCAAGCTCGCAAGGTCCGTTGGTAGAGGTGTCAATTTTGACTCATGCAGTTGGTCATCGTTCGAGCTAACTAGCATGATCGTGCTTGCCTCTCGCTCGATTGACGTGATAGCGAATGGGTACGCAGCTTTACGGATACGGACCAAGAGCGCTTCGAGAAAGGCTGCGGCGCGCGCAAGTGACTTACGAGCCTGCATGACTTTGCACTCTGTTCTGTGCCGATTCCAGTCGGATCGCTGGCAGGCGCGACCGCAAAAGAACGTGCGTATCGCGGGTCCGTCATCGTAGGCCGGCGCCCCACAGCAACCCGCACACCGACGTGCTACTGGGTTTCGAGAAGCGCTGCATAAGCTGCCTTTGTAGCATGAAGGAAACAAGGCGCTGCTGGAAAAGTGCTTGGTCCATAACTTGGACACCACCCTGGAACGAAGTCCCGTGTTGGGTTAGCGGTACACCGATATTTTTGGCATAACAGTGTGCCTACCGTACCACTACGAACACTGAACTACCACGAATATCATACTGGTACGAAGAGTTGAGGTCCTTGGATAGCCATCTTGTACGATTATGTTGCACGAATTGCCATACTGGTACGAATAGCATTCCGGTACGAACAGCATACCAGTACAATAATTTTAAGGCACCGAATTGCCATACTAGTATGAATAGCATACTGGTATGAACAGCATACTGGTACAAACATTTCAGGTAGCATACCAGTACGGCAGCTTTGGGTACTGTTTTATTATTGGTATGCTTTCCGCACCTTAAAGTTCCGGTACTGTCTTGCTTTTTCGTCCCCAGTATCACGGGATCGCGTGCCAGGGTGGTGTCGAGGGTGTCGCGAGTCTAAGCTTCACCCAAGCTGGGTCTCCTACTTCGAGCTGGCGGTAAATATCTCCTTCGCATAAGTCACGCTGTGTACTAGAGTCTTAGATGTGAGACATCTTTATATGTTTACTTTTTTTATTCCATGCGACAACTTCTGAATCTCATAGGAACAATCCTATGACACAGTCACCTATGACGGTGCCATTGTTGACCACGGTGGCCATAAACCACAGGTGCGCCTTGCGCTTATTCACACCTCGTCGTTGGCCGGCCATTTCCCATCGGCTCCAGAAGCACGCCTCCTGACTTCGTTTGGAGTCGGCCTCCTCCCCGTCGCATCCCGCGCAGATGGTTGTCTGTCAGTATTGGCCCGACGTGCAGTGTGATCTTTGGCCGTCCATGAATCCCGCGGAACCAGAGTGGCGGTACCCATCTCAGTGTTTGACACCGCCCCAAAACGACTGCAATAACGATCTGTCGATATCTGTCGAGCAGTTTCGTCCGTAAAAGAGCCGATCCACTGCGCTGAGCCGTTCGTAGATGATGCCTTCTTGACGTCAAAGAGGTCTGCCAAGGTGGTGATAACTACTTGGTCGCTTTCGACGTCTGCAATTAACTCACCAACCCGATATATTTTCTGCTGGGCAACTGTCTCAGAAGCCGCTTTACAGACCTCTAGACACTTCTTCGAAGCCTTGAGGTCCTCCTCCAACCGCGATTTCTCGCTTTCATCTTGACTTGTCCCGTTCCGAGGCAAGGACGCTAAGCGCTCATGCAACCGACCGATGGTTTCCGAGAAGTTATCCCGGTTTTCGTCGAGTGTTCGGCGTATCATCAGCTGTGCTTCGAATCGCACCTGGTCGTTTCCACTAGTAGTCGGGGGTAGTTGTTGCTTCAGAAGGTCCCCATCGCTCGCCAAGGTCTCAAGATAATGCTGCGCATCCTCACAGATTCGCAGGCATCGCTCTGTGACAACCCGCTCATCCTCCAGGTCTGTGGTCATGCCAGAGGCATCCACGCTGCCTGCAACTTCCGTAGTCAACCCGTCCATCTTTTCGTCGATACGCTGCAGTCGAACGTTGAGGCGATAGATGGTATCCATGATCATCTCGTTGTATTCCTCGAGGACTTTCTGGGAAGCTTTAGATGTCTGCCTAACATGATGTAAGCCACTGCAAAATGAGACTCGAGTTGACGCAAATCGGCAGGATGGGTAACCAACATGGTGATTGTGCCGAGACCTATCGAGATCGTTTCTTTGTAACCCGACAAAGCGTCCAAGAAATCGTTGATGTCGCCCCGCATGAACTCCATTTTTGCCCAATCTCGGAAGCCCACTTTAGACTTCCCGCTGAACACCTTCATGGCTTTCTCGAAGTCGTTACATAACTGGCTGCATCGGAGAATAGGGTCTTTAAGAAGGACCATCATGGCGGATTCTGTTTCGACGACCTTGTGTAGCGCATCTAGGATCCGTAAGAAGGCCTCGAGCTCTGCCTGTAGTCGAGACAGGGTTCTATCCCGACCTTTGTAGCGATTGACAGTCTCGACAAGCAACTTTACAGACTGAGCGGCTGTCGTGAGTAGCGCAAGCACAGATGTGGTGATGCTTAAAGGGTCCGCCATGCTTGGAAAACGTTGCCAACATAGTACCGCATCTGCTTGCATTGGCCGCCTCGCCGACATACCTTGTGGCCGGCGAAGTCAATGGATAAGCAGTGAATTTATGTTCGAACTCGGGCCCCTTTTCTGCAATAGGCCACACTTTGGTTGGCGCACTTAGCGCCGCGCCCAGCCTAGTTGTGCCGCGGAGGCCGTGTGGGCATTACCCCGCAAGTGATACCTCTACGGAGTACAAATTGGCGGGATGCCATACATACTGATCGTTCTTTCTGCATGAAGGTTGCGCAGGGGGGGATTCAACCTTGTGCTCCTCCAGCGCTTAAGCACCTCAAGCATCTCGAAAGTTCCCGTTTTTCGTGATTAATCTCCTCGATTGCAGGTCTGGATTTGTTGATATCCAGACCACAGTAATACGGTGAGGATGGTACGGTCTTGGTGATGACGAGAGTCAATTGTTCTACATTGACTTCGTGAGAAAGAGGGAGTTCTGAAGGTGGGCCGGCCAGCCGCCGAGCAATCAATCGAAGGTGACCCTTCCTGCCACCTGGCTCGCGGGATTGTACTGCCAATCCGATTGGTGCGTTATGGGCAGTACCTTGCATCGGGCAGATGATGGCGCCAGAGTCCTGCGCCTCAGCTACATCGATAGAAGTACGGTTGGTCTTTTCTGGTATCTTGACCACTGCCCCTCTTTTCGCTCACCATTCTCCTCCTCTACTGCTTCTGTCTATTAACCAGATCTATCAGGTCTCTACTATACCTAGAGCAAAAGTTTGACGGGTACGAATTGCCATTACTGTCTTGCTTCTTCGACCCCATGTTTTCTCAACCACGTCACCTACCTATGCTTCAATCGTTATCTCAAGCATCCTGCCTCTGTCTCACTGCAATCGCCTGTACTCGATTGAAGTCTGCGCTGAAAGGGACGGTCGCTCAACTACAGTGGTTCAACGTCAAGGTAGCAGCTGTTTCTTATCTAGAGGTATGCTCAACTAACCTTGAGCAGGCAAGCAGTTCCCAAACCGTGTCAAGAACCGTCGTCAAAGGAGTGTCCATCGCATCTCACGACACGACGGATCCGAATACTCCAATCTCATCTCGAAAAACCCTTGTTTACAGCCGGCGCTGCCGCTGGCCACCGCGCCAGTCTCGGCGAAAGCAACATCAGAGGCTCACACACGCCATCCAGAGGGCTGTCGGAAACGACGCCAACACCCAGATGCCCCCAGCTCATCCGCGAAGGAGCGCACTTTGAAGAGATCACGACAGACTGCTCGCCGTCGCCAAGAAGAGACGATCGATTGGATAGCATACGGGGCCGCAAAGGGGCCGATGCCGCGGCAATAGTTTGAGCAGAGCTGGAGCATGGAGCGTCTTCTTGCGGGGAAGATGTCTTCCTCAACTCTCAGTCGCAAGCAATCAGTGTCTGGTTCTGCTAGCTCGGTAACGCCTAGCGACCAGAGGTTGAGAGAAGAGAAGGCTGATCCATTCAGTGACCCGCGATACAAAAACGTACTTGCAACCCAAAGAGGCTTCATGGACAAACCCTCCCAAGACCCAACAGAACCAAGCATATCACAGAGACACTATCACGCGATTCTCTGTTTTGTGATAACATCCTCGATTTCATCTGTCGCAAGGTTGTACACAGAAAACGGAGTTAGGTTTATGCAAGGTCTAAATCTACTGATCGTCCCCTTTACGGAGCTCATTACTACCTAAGGCGCCACGGAGCTCGATTACTTGACCGAAAGCATGAAAAAAGGGTGGGAGCATTCGTCAGAACCACTTCCAGAGCCTCTTCCATGTTTGACACAGTTTCCAGATGGCTCGAAGCTCCTCGTCCAAAGACCGCTCCTTATCTTTGCCGATACTCAAGCACGTCGATGTCCCACTCCGTGCCGTCTCGCAATCGATATTGACCAGACACTATGTCTTCTCTCCAAACGTAAGCCTGTCTAAAGGGTGATCATGCGTCCAGGATCAAAGATTCGTGCCGCAAACTCCTGGACAGCCTCGAAGGCCATGAAATTGCAGCTTTCACTCTGCAAATGCTCCGTGACGGCTGCTAATGTGCTAAACTCCCTGGAGCAGCCGTGTTTCGGACAGTGGTAGAGGCTCTGCTGGTGTTTGGGCGATTTGAGGTGTTGGTTCAACGACTCGAGGCTTGCAAAGCGACCGCTGCACAGGGAGCAATTGAAAGTCTTGGTGACGGGATCCCAAGATTCCGTAGTGGCCTCGAAAGTGACCTCCACAGCCCACTCTTGCAGTCGTTTCGTGAGCACGCCATTTGGATCACGCTGTTTGGCCGCTTGAAAAACTCCAAGCCGAGTTAATGGTGCTTTTTCGCATGCTCCCTCCTCTAGGTGATGAAAAATGCCGGCCGCAGTCACGTATGATTTGTGGCAAAAAAGGCAGGATGCGTTATTGCCGCGGTGCGCTCTGCTGTTGCGATGCTACACAAGTTAGGCCGATTTTGTGATCTATGGTTTAGTAACGAACCATCTTGATGCTATTCGAGTCTTGGAATGTTCGGTCGCATGGATCGCAGTAAAAGTGTTCATTCACTTCATGCTCCCTAAGTGCATCTTCGTCATCTAAAACCTCAGAGCAAGAGTCGTAGTCGCAGTAGTACTCGGGTTCGTCAGAAGATGAATCCGCCCAATGGTTCAGCGCAGTCATGTGCTGTTCGATGGCTCGTTGGTTGTTGCAATAACGGTCGCAAGTGTCGCATTCGAATTCAGGAGCCAGGTGGGACTTGGCAGCCACATGCTGATCGCGAGACCTCCATGAAGGCCATGTTTGGAGGCAGGTAACGCAGGCAAAATTCATCGCTGGATTCGTATAGTTATATGATGGTGGAACAGGAAAGATGGTTTTTCATATAATTGTGAGA